AATATTACATGTTAATAACTTGATTGGAATTATAACCTTGAATTGACAGTTTGATACTTTGAAAATTTTGAGCCAGCCCTACCCCCAAGGGCTGTAGGGTGGGGCTCAAAGGAGTCAGTGTGCTAAAATTTCTTCATTTTCCTTGTTAAGAATCAGAGGTGCTAGTTTCAAATCCTTTTTAGTCTGAAATCTGTATGCTAGATATTGAGTAAGGTGGTTTTATTGTTTTTTGTCACTTTGAATAATATTTCTGTTCATGTTAAAAACAAAATCAACTCTCTGTATAAATATATCAGGTGACCGTTAAGGCCCATGGGCCTCTTGTTTATATTTGCTTTGTGAAGTATGACTGAAACCTCTCAGTATTTACTTATACGCCAAACACAACAACAAAACAGTACCGGCTCAAATAAGGTTTTACATAATTTGTTAAACACGTAAATAACATTTCACCGGCATGTGAATATTTTACATATAATGTTGTAAGAGCTCTACTAGCAGATTTACAGAGTTCTCTGACAGCAAAATGCAAATCTAATTATTCTTCAAACCAGAGTCCTAATTACTTATATTTGCTATTTAAGGCGACAGTTATGTAACCACATGAAAATGTAAAATGACATGTAGTAAGGAGAGGAAGTATTTCTAAAATGGACTATGTTAGTTTTGTCTTGATTAACCTCGATCTTCCACTTTTACACCATTTATTTAAAACATCGAGCATCCGTTGCATAGATTTTTCATCGGGGCAATGAATGGAATGTCATCAGCATACAGAAGTTTGGAGGTAATACACGATTCAATATCAATACCACATTTCAAATTATCAATATCTTTTGCTATATCATATATGTACATAGAACAAATTGTTGGCGAGGCATTACAACCTTGTTTTAGACCTTGCGTCTTGTCATATCGATGGGTGGTGTTAAACCACCATTGATTCTAATTCTGCATTCATAATTAAAATGTAATGATTTGATGGCATTTAAAAAACATCATTTAAAACCAAAATGTTCTCTCTTAGCCAATAAAATATCCCTGTTCACATATTCAAACGCTTTCTTCATATCAACAAAACATACAATAGTGGATTTGTTCTTGATTTGTCTGTTAATCAAAATAAAGTACAATATATACTGGTGGTCCTAACAACTTCTGTTCTTTCTAAAACCGTTCTGTTTATCTCCAAGTAATACATTTGTTTCTAACGTTTTTGATAACCGATGATTTAAAACATCGGCATAAATTTTACATGGGATTGATATAATGGCAATTCCTCTATAACTAACTGGATCTTTTGGATCCTTTCCTGCTTTTAAAATAGTGTTGATAATGCGTATGAGTCTACTTATCTGGAACTCTAACATAATCAAAACAATTAACAATAATAGTATGTAAGAGGTCAATACAAGCTGGGTTTCTTAGAACATTACTCTGTATATTGTCAATACCAGCCGCTTTGTTTAACTTAAACGATAAACGTAATCTTCAACATCTTGACGTAAATTCAATAGACTGCTGTCAATATCAGGTTTGGGTCCCGACAACGTATCAGTTTCATTTCTATCAGTATTGTCTGTCATGTCAGAGCTTTGAAGGTTTCAAAGAGTCGAACCATACCTTTAGAGATTCACTATCTAGAGTTTTTCGTAATATTACCATTTTTATCTCTCATTGTATTTGGTATGGTATTCATTCTGTCTTTTTGCATACCTAGCTGGCCTATCTAGTTCAAGAAATCTTTAGGGGAATTATGACATATGTCAAGCAGTTAGTCTTGTTTGAGTTTTTGATATCCTCGTTTATCACGTTTAAGTATTTTGTTAAACAGCTGACGGTTGTTTATGTATTGAAACCTTAATTAGTGTTCGCTTTACACTTACATGACCGTTACACTTTACCCATAACCTTTCACTCTTACTACGCTTGTGTACTAGGTTTTGTAACTCATCATTCCAATACGGTTTACGTCGAAGTGTAGAATTTATACTCCCCGATCCTTTTCCAACGTTCAAGTTTGGTAGCCAGGCCTCCATTTTACTTTAGATAAACTTGGTAAAGCGACTGAATGCCTAGTTAATATATAAGGAAACATCTAAGTCATGCTCTATTTCGTCAATAGTCGTTACAATTTTTCTCATTGCTTCATCATCTTTCAGTATAGTAGATCTGTTATCTTGGCACTTAGACCAGTGAGACCTGATGCCAGTAAACATCTTTTGGAGGGTTTTCATAAATCGAATTGGCCAAAACCTTACGCACAAGGCGTGGGACACGGGCGAGAAAGGGTGCTGTCAGGCGAATATCAAGTAAACATGTAATCGGTGTTACATCGATAGGACCAGTGTCTGTATTACGGTAATAACGTGTGGGAGAAAACTAATCGAGCACTTAGAAATAGAAATCCAAACACGAGGGACGAGATGTTTGGGTTTATAGAAACAATATATTATATCATTCTGTAGTAAACATTGAATTCCTTGAATTCCGTGAATTCATACCAGAAATGCTGGCATCATTGACAAGAACTTGACTTAAATTGTCTAGTCTGAGAATGGTAGTCATGGGAGAGATAGGAGCACGCTACTATATATGTACAAAGACTGTAAGTGTATGTCAAAGAGTCTGCTTTTCTGCACGTAAAGACCCAACCATTCAATCAAACTCTCATTCAACCAATCCCCAGCCAGTATTGTAATACTACAGGACAAGCAGCTGGAGGCAAGTACATACAAAACATATTTGGCACTTCTTTAGTTGATGATTTTTTAAAGCAAAGATATAGAGGATATTTATTGGTGTCGTCAGTAATAACAAATATATTTCACGAGTGTGGCTAATATTTTGCGCACGAGTGAAAAACATTAAAATATAAGCCACACGAGTGAAATATATTTGTTTTTAATGAAGCCACCATTAACTTTTCTATTTATTACATTTTTAAAGCAAAAAACATGAAAAATGTAATGCATTAAAAAAGGGCGGGAATCAGGAACGTAATAATTAGCGCCATATCTTAATGACGTCGCACTTGACTACAAGACTGCGCGCCATTTTGAATGGAATACTCAACGCACATTCCGACGATTTCTGCTATTTTCTGGTATTTTTGCTTAATTGTTTATTTATGTAAATACTTAACTGGTTGTACCAAACATTTACTATAACAACCACTTATTTTACTGTCGCTTCATTCGAACAGAAAATGTATCGATATTTATCATGATAAATATTGATAATTAAATCTACATGTACATGATTATGTGAAATTGGCCTTGGATTATGTTTGGCATGCTAAAAAAGTACTTTACCGGTTTTGATATTACATAAAAATTATTCTGTAGACAGAATATGTATATGGAAAGTTTGTAAAGAAGTTTAAAATATAGACTACTATTGTAACTATATATAGGCAAGTTGACAATGTTGGTTATATTTTAAATTTAGTGAAAATTTTGCATGTTTTTCTAATTAAAAGTATCACTACGCTTACTTCATGTATACCAAAATGACATATTTAGTATCAAAATAACAGTAATTATATACACTATGATAATACATTTTTAAAACAACATTCGCCTGTGACACATATCTGTCATTTTGTTAGGATACCCCCGTCACTCAACCTGGTGTTAAGCAAGGAGGTCCACTACGGTTAGCAGCAGTAATTATGAATAATCATTTATACAGTTATTGATCATTTTTATGTATCTACATATCGCAAAAGAATAAAAGAAAATCAAAGCGGGGGCCAAATGTTGACCCCACCTTTGCAATTATGCACATATGTGTATTTGCACTATCTGCAAAAAACGTACATGTATTACATTGTCCTTTGGCTGGTTCAGAAATGTTTGAGGAAGGGTTGGGGTGTATTAATGTGCTAGACTGTGGGCTCCATTCCAAGCATTATCATCGAAATCGCCAATGTTTTGCACAGCCATACCATTTTGTCGGATGCCTGTATACATATCCACAGCTAAAAAGCATTAAATGATCTCCGTATGAGGTATATTTCATCATATTTAGCTCGGTTACAAAAGAGATTCACGAGGTATAATGTCTGTGGACTATTTTCTTAATGCGTTATTACAAAATAGGTTAACATCGATGAATCATATAAGTTATTGAAGTACAAGTTCTATTTATATTTACATTACATTTCTGAATTCCGATATTTAATTAGGATCTGGAATTTAGTTTGGCCGTACCATCTCTTAGAGAGGCTTGTTGAATCCTAACCTCATCACATCTCAGCGTATCCATTTACACACGCTGTGTAATGATACATGTCTTCCCAATCGACTCGATCATACGCTATAGCGCCACTTAATCACCAATACACTCTATACATGTTTCCAATACGAAGAGGCCAACCTCTCGAAATTAATCGAACGTTGTTATGTGGAAGGTACATGACTTTTATGGCCTCGTGAAAATATACAATAAATCAGCTGAGAATGTCTGAGTTACCTATTCGTGGTTGCCTTTCCTAACGTGACGGCTCATTTCCAGACCGTACCGCAGAAGATATGGAGTTAGCCAAGCTTTGCGGTCACGTCCTGTGGTATCAGTTTTTAAGGAAAGTCCTTTTCTATGGTAAGTTAATTGTGTTTGTGCTATTTATAACAGTGATCACACTTTTGTATAGATGCACTGGTCAGTGATTTTGGGAGTTAATTACAGTGCTTTAGCAGAGTTCATGTTTTATTTTAAGTTTCGATATATAACAGATGAAAAATGGTGTTATGATAGTGTAAACAAAGCGTAATGTGTATGATATATATATTGTGAGTGTAGCATTATGTAAGAGCTATGCAATGAGTGTAGTCTGATTTTTGAAATATACAATATGCAGGTTGTGTTAATGCGAGTTTTGTAATTTGTATGGAGTGTTACTATGGGACATTGAATGAGCGTGTTATGTTTGATATACGAGTATACAATGTGTATGGGATGTATGCGATAAATAACGTGTGAGGACTTGTTACTTATGGGATGTACAATTATATGTAGTGCTGAGTGTAGGCATGAGATATGGCAATGTTATATACATATATGTAGTGTTTTGTATGATATATACAATATGTTTGGTATATATGCGATGAGCAAGTGTGTGGGTGTAGTTTAATTCAAAAGATGTACAATGGTATGTACTGTTAAGTATGTATGTATGAGATACGCATTGTGTGGGTAGTGTTTCGATGAAATATACAACGTGTATGAAGTGCTATCATTACGTATCATTAATAAATTTAGACTCGTTTTGCATTTGCCATACGAGTATAACGATTTTCTGAATATTGATGCTAGTATTACGGATTCGGATTCCCCTCTAATAGCGGCTGTCATTGATCCGTGTCCGTCCGCAGTATCCGAACCATGTTTAAGGTACTTCAATACACTGGTGTGGAACAAGATTTGGGAAATAAGCAAATGACTCATAATCAAATATGAACCTCTCCACAGATGTTGTGATATGTTATATTTGTTTCTAGGTAGTTACAGAAAATTAATCAACAGAAATTTAAATTGTATTTCATTTTAATTACACAAAGTGACCTTCTTGATACTTGTACCTGATATAAAATTGAAATTTTAAGAAGTTAGATCTGAATTGCAAATTTGTGATATGTTTGCAACTATTACCTTATTAATACTTTTAGTTAAAACATTCTAAAATGTTTACTTGAACATAATTGTCAATTGATGTCTTTTTTGATAATTTGACCAAATATAAGTTTGCTATAACAGAGAGTAACACTATAGAATGTAATTATGTGTTAATAAGCTATTTCGGGCAAGCTTTACTGCATCAGAATTCTTGAGATTTTGTTTAGGTACCAATCATAAACAAGATCACTTTATTTCAATTGCGTGTTTTTAAGTTTACTTTTCTCATGGTTATGTTTGTGTAATTACTCGTCCTCATTATCAAATGTATATCACATCAACACATCAGTGGATTGGTGTTGATTGGTATCAAGCTGTATGTGTCTGATCCTACTCTCTACAAGTGTACTGATGCCTCTTAATACGATTCAGTGAGCCTCGCAGTCTTCTAGCTAATGGTGCTGAGAGATTATAACTAGAAATGAAGGCCACATGAGCCACACTATTTGCTCCGAGTCAACGTTTGACTTTGCCGGCAGTAAGAAGAAGTAGCTACATATACAGTGTATCAACATTTCAAGGGAAACAAACTCCGTTGTCGGATAACTTAACTGTTTCTTAAAATGTGTAAATAACAGATATGGTGGATAGTTCAGTTCGGAAACTGACTAGGTATCTGGGAAGATTTGTTTGTTATTTCTTTAAAAGAATAACGGCAAAAATTGTGAACAAGACACGTAAGATTATATTTGTATAGTTAATTTCATTAATAATGATGTATTGTAAATAATAATGTAAATGGGAAATCATCGTGCATTAAAAAGGTCGCGTTGTTACTATAAATACTAATATCGGTGTGGAGATGTTCGCGTTGTTACTATAAATACTAATATCGTTGTGGAGATGTTCGCGTTGTTAGTATTTATACTGATATCGGTGTGGAGATGTTCGCGTTGTTACTATTAATACTGATATCGGTGTGGAGATGTTCGCGTTGTGGCTCTTTAAACTGATATCGATGTGGAGATGTTCGCGTTGTTACTATTTATACTGATATCGATGTGGAGATGTTCGCGTTGTTACTATTTATACTGATATCGGTGTGGAGATGTTCGCGTTGTTACTATTTATACTGATATCGGTGTGGAGATGTTCGCGTTGTTACTATTTATACTGATATCGGTGTGGAGATGTTCGCGTTGTTACTATTTATACTGATATCGGTGTGGAGATGTTCGCGTTGTTACTATTAATACTGATATCGTTTAGGGAATGATCGCGTTTATACTATAAATACTAATATCGATGTTGAAATGATCGCTTTGTGACTTTTTAAACTGATGTCGATGTGGATATCTTCACGTTGTTCCTATCTATACTGATACTCAGTGTAGAGATGTTCGCGTTGTTACTATTAATACTAATATCGATGTGGAGATGTTCGCGTTGTGGCTCTTTAAACTGATATCGATGTGGAGATGTTCGCGTTGTTACTATTTATACTGATATCGGTGTGGAGATGTTCGCGTTGTTACTATTTATACTGATATCGGTGTGGAGATGTTCGCGTTGTTACTATTAATACTGATATCGTTTAGGGAATGATCGCGTTTATACTATAAATACTAATATCGATGTTGAAATGATCGCTTTGTGACTTTTTAAACTGATGTCGATGTGGATATCTTCACGTTGTTCCTATCTATACTGATACTCAGTGTAGAGATGTTCGCGTTGTTACTATTAATACTAATATCGATGTGGAAGTGTTCGCGTTGTAACTGTTTATACTGATATCGTTGTGGTGATTATTGCATTGTTACTATTTATATTGATATTGGTGTGGAGATGTTCGCGTTGTTACTGTGTATACTGATATCGGTGTGGTGATTATTGCATTGTTACTATTTATATTGATATCAGTGTGTAAATGTTCGCGTTGTAACTGTTTATACTGATATCGGTGTGGTGATTATTGCATTGTTACTATTTATATTGATATTGGTGTGGAGATGTTCGCGTTGTTACTGTGTATACTGATATCGGTGTGGTGATTATTTCATTGTTACTATTTATATTGATATCAGTGTGTAAATGTTCGCGTTGTAACTGTTTATACTGATATCGCTCTGGAGAGGTTCGCGCTGTTATAATTGATACTGATGTCGGTGATGAAAAGTTCGCGTTGCAACTCTTTAAACTGATATTGGTGTGAATGACTTTGTGTTGTTACTACTAATATTGATATCGGTGTGGAAATGTTCGCATTGTTACTATTTATACTGATATCGGTGTGGAGATGTTCGCGCTGTTACTATCAACACTGATATCGGTGTGGAAATGTTCGCGTTGTGACTCGGTGTGGAGATGTTCGCGCTGTTACTATCAACACTGATATCGGTGTGGAAATGGTCGCGTTGTGACTCTTTAAACTGATATCGGTGTGGAGATGTTCGCGCTGTTACTATCAACACTGATATCGGTGTGGAGATGTTCGCGTTGTTACTATTAATACTGATATCGGTGTGGAAATGTTCGCGTTGTGACTATTTAAACTGATATCGGTGTGGAAATGTTCGCATTGTTACTATTTATACTGACATCGGTGTGGAGATGTTCGCGCTGTTACTATCAACACTGATAGCGGTGTGGAAATGTTCGCGTTGTGTCTCTTTAAACTGATATCGGTGTGGAAATGTTCGCATTGTTACTATTTATACTGACATCGGTGTGGAGATGTTCGCGCTGTTACTATTATTACTGATATCGTTGTGAAGGATTCGCGTTGTTACTATCAACACTGATATCGATGTGGAAATGTTCGCGTTGTGACTCTTTAAACCGATATCGGTGTGGAGATGTTCGCATTGTTACTGTTTATTCTGATATCGGTGGGGAGATGTTTGCATTGTTACTATTTATTCTGATATCGGTGTGGAGATGTTCGCGCTGTTACTATTATTACTGATATCGTTGTGAAGGATTCGCGTTGTTACTATTTGTACTGATATCGGTGTGAAGGTGTTCGCGTTGTTACTATTAATACTGATATCGGTGGGGAGATGTTTGCATTGTTACTATTAATACTGAGATTGGTGTGGAAATGTTCGCGTTGTGACTCTTTAAACTGACATCGGTGTGGAGATGTTCGCATTGTTACTGTTTATTCTGATATCGGTGGGGAGATGTTTGCCTTGTTACTATTTATTCTGATATCGGTGGGGAGATGTTTGCATTGTCACTATTTATACTGATATCGGTGTGGAGTTGTTCGCGTTGTTACTATTTATACTGATATCGGTGAAGAGATGTTCGCGTTGTTACTATCAACACTGATATCGGTGTGGAAATGTTCGCGTTGTGACTCTTTAAACTAATATCGGTGTGGAGATGTTCGCGTTGTTATTATTTATTCTGATATCGGTGTGGAGATATTCGCGTTGTTACTATTATTACTGATATCGTTGTGAAGGATTCGCGTTGTTACTATTTGTACTGATATCGGTGTGAAGATGTTTGCGTTGTTACTATTAATACTGATATCGGTGGGGAGATGTTTGCATTGTCACTATTTATACTGATATTGGTGTGGAGATGTTCGCGTTGTTACTATTTATACTGATATCGGTGAAGAGATGTTCGCGTTGTTACAATTTATACTGATATCGGTGTTGAGATGTTCGCGTTGTTACTATTAATACTGATATCGGTGTGGAGATGTTCGCGTTGTTTCTATTAATACTGATATCGATGTGGAGATGTTCACGTTGTTACTATTAATACAGATATCGGTGTGGAGATGTTCGCGTTTTTACTATTAATGCTGATATCGGTGTGGAGATGTTCGCGTTGTTACTGTTTATACATATATCGGTGTGGAGATGTTCGTGTTGTTACTATTTATACTGATATCGGTGTGGAGATGTTCGCGTTGTTACTATTAATACTGATATCGGTGTGGAGATGTTCGCGTTGTTACTGCCAAT